GCAACTAATATGATACAGTTAACTATTGAAAACAGGGGTATGATGGCGACTATCGGTGGTGAAGAAACATGGCGAAAAGTTTTGACGCTCCCTAATATCTTCAAAGTACATTCAATGATCGTAAATTTCTAAATGAGAGATGAGCTAGAATTGTTTTTCTTTCATAAAAAAAAATCTTCACTTTGAGTCGTATAAAATTTGATTAATATTATTTTGTATATTGTATGTAAGAATTTTGAAAAAAATCACGATGATCTCTAGTGAGTGTAAAACACTTTTTCGACTGATAAATATTTTTATGTACAGGAGTTTAACCATAATTTGATAGGATATGCGCTTGGAAATTCTTTGACTTCTCATCCAGCTTCGCAATTGAACGTAGGTGAAGGTGGTGCAGTCTCTATGGATATGCCTTACATGGCTAAATTTTTAATTAATAGAATGAAGAAAGATCCAAGGATAGATATAAATAATCATTGGAAGGTTCGTATTTCGTATAAAATACATTATAGTTCTATGGAAATAATAATGATCACGAATTTTTATTAGCAATGATTTTTTTTTAGAACTTAAATAAAATTATTTTTAAAATTAAAATCAAATTAAACGAAAATTATTATTTTAATAAGTGTTAATAAATTGTTCTGATTACGAGTATCGTTATCTAATATCTCTTTTCATATTTTTTTGCAGTTTATATCAATATTGATCGGGCCTAATGATTTTTGCGCCATGTGTAACAATCCTTCTCCGTCCATCATTTTGAAAAATCATAAAAAAGATTTAATTAATACCCTTCGAATATTAAGAGATAATTTACCAAGGAGTTTTGTCGCTGTTATAATATCACCTCATATAAAAGAAATAGTCAAAGCACGTAGAGGAAGATTCTCGTGGAGATGTTATTTGATAAGTACCATAGAATGTCCATGTTTGCTAGCTGTACAATATAAAGAACGAAGACAGGAATATTACGAAATAATAGACAAGTTTGTATAATATATTTAATTGAAATAATCCAAGATTTCGAGATATAAAAGAAAAGTGAAATTTTATTATTCCGGTTATTCTTGGTTAGAGAGTATAAATTAAAATATTTCTAAATTTCTTACAAACGATATGAGATACTGTATTTAAAAAAAAAAAAAATTAAAAAATTTCACTATATTTCAATATATTTTGCAATACGAAAAAATATTTTTATCTGAGAAGAACAGAATTATATAATACAAATTTTTACGTTTATTTTCGATTATACTTTATCGTGAAAAATTATGGTTCGAATCAAAATTAATCCAAATAAAATAAATAAATTTCTTTTATTTTTCACATTTCTACAATTTTTTTTAAACGACTGTTTAATATGGATTGTAATTATAAAATGTAATTTATAATCTATTTTATTTAAATTTTTAGATGGCAAGAATTGGAGGAAGAAATCGTTAATTATCCAGAATTTCATACAAATAACTTTACCGTAATAACTCTTCCAGCTATAAAAAATATAAAAGTTCCGCTCGCTGAAGATGGATTCGCCGATTTATCATATTTTTCCATTGATTGTTTTCATTTGAGTCAAAAATGTCACGCGATATGTAAGTATAACAATTGATGCATTATTATAATGATTTCTTCATTATTCTAATGTTGTAATATTTTTCATATAAGTGGCAAATTATATATGGAACAATCTGTTGGAACCAATTGGTAATAAGTCCGACCACATATCGTATCCAAAATTTTTTAAAAGATTCTTATGTCCTACCTCGGAGAGGCCATATCTAATGACACGTGAAAACTCACGGAATATAATTTGACATTAATTAAAATTTGAATCACGTTCATAATCCATCCAATTAAAATACTAAAAGTATTGAAATTTAGTACAATAGCTAATTTTTTAAATGTTTATAATGTTACTTTGATTATTGAACCAATCTTATTTGTATCAGAACAAAATATTTATTTATATTTCAATAAAATCAAGACTTTTTTTGTATCATATTGTTTTTCTGCATTATTTTTTTTTTTTTTTTTTAGATGATTACACGTATTCTATCCGAGAATATTCTATACCTTGAAATCTATTTTCCATCTAATCATAAAATAAATTAATATAATTTTGAGTAAGTATTTTAATGCTAATACAATAAATTATATAATATAATATAATCTATATCTTTATAGATTTTAAAAAGAAATCGGATATTATAGAATCACTGTAAAAAAAATTCGATTTAATTCATTTATTTAATCTTTTTTTATAATATTTTTTTATAATATTTTAATTTTTCGTTTTCATATTTATAAATCATTCGTCAATTATTAATTTTATTCGATGTATCGTTTAAAATAATTCATTAATTAAAATTTTGATATTATTAATTTTTTATTTATATACTCGAAATAAATATGCATGCTTCAGAATATTTATATTGGTTTGTTTTGAGCATCAATCGGAAAGTTTTTTTTCAATTCTTTGTTCAAACGTTTGGATTAAAGTATATACCATGCACGTTATTGGCAAATATTTTGTATTCTTCGTGCATAATTCAGCATAATTTGAAAAATTACTCACGGAAATCGTGTGTATCATTTCAATTTATAACATAAATGTCACATCATTTTTATTTCCATTGTTTTTATAGAGAATTATATTTAATGAAAATAATAAAAATTTAATTCAAAAATTGAATTAATATATATTATATATTATATATTTGATTCGTGTAAAATATTTTTATAAATCAATTGAAACAATCATTAAAAATTTATCAGTCTTACTATGAAACAAAAGAATATAAAAATTACAATACATATTAAATAACACAATATCAATAATACATACATATACTAAAATATATATCATACTAATTTATTAAAAAATTGTATGATATTATTTCAAGTCTGTTTTATTTTCATAGTTTATCATTAGAATAGTACTTGAGCATTGCTTAAGCAAGCATATTAATAAGTGATTGAGCAAATATTAATCAAGCAATATAATCGATATTTACCGGTTTCATATTAGCCAATATCTAATTTTTTTCCCCTCGATATCTAATTTACTAGAATTAAAAAAACTAGATAAATTTATTTTCCATTTCAATTATTCATGATTAATAATTCTTCTGTGTGTATTTTACATATAAATTTTCATCATTTTATTTTATATTATAAATTTTCTTTTATAGAAAAAAAAATATTATTAATTTTTTTTCTAATAAATCATAAATATAATGAATATAATAAAAATAAATCTTCTGTAAAATGTTCAAATCAAAAGAGATACGAGATAAATAAAATGAATGTAATAACAATTACAAATAAATATATACAATTACAGTATCTTTATTTTTTTTTTTAATAGAAAAATATGGTACATTTGTACGAAAGATTTCCGAGTGATGATCATCGAATAATTTGAATATCAGTAGATGCGATTGTTATTTATTTATTCATACCATGAACTTCCTGGTGGTACGTGGTACCGTTTTAAAAACATCAGCCTCTTTGTCACGTTCCTCGATTTCTTCGTCGGCGGCATATAAAATAATAAAAGATCGGATCGAGCAGACAGAAAATTACTTGCGAACGCTGCAATTACAACTGTTCCAAAATGTAATTTTGGGTTTGAAATGGCTTGTTGATTCATTGAATCAATGGTAGGCACAAATATGAATAATTTGTATGAAAGAGAATACAGTTTATATGTAAATTTTACGATTTTTTGTTTTTTATTCAAAAAATAAATATTAATTTGGGAATATTTTAACTATTTTTTTTTTTTTTTAGATTGCTTTAATTAATTGTTTTGTATCTTCTTTGGCTATTTTTATCATATTTTTAATATTATATTTGGATAGATATAGCAATATTTTGAAAATTAATGATAAAAATAAAATTTGATATTTAATTAATGATAAATATTTTTCCATCTATTCGATAAATGAAATCAATTGCAAATTTTCTCGATGATAAATTTTTTCTATAGATGATGAATAAATCATTTTTTTTTTTTATAAATAATTTCAATCGATTATTACATTCGATTATTAACTCTGATATAGAGAATATGTGATATACAGAATATAAGAGACAATTACTGGCAATTTATTCATTTTCTTAGCAAAAAATTCAGAGAAAAATTATAGAAGAAAATATATTCTAATTATTATACTAGTTTGTTTAATAGATGGAGATATGAAACCACAAATTTCATAAAAATCATATATATATAATAATATATATATTTCTTTTTTTTTTTTTTAGAAGCAGATAATTATTATCTCTATAAAAAAAAACTATTCTTTATAATAAAACTATTATTTATAATAAAAAATTTAATTATTTTAAATATTTCAATCATAATTTTGTAGAAATTATTGTATTTGTATCAAAATAGATAAAGAAAACGTAAATATAATGATGTTGTATGTTAATTCTTAAGTTAATTAATTAATAACTTAGTATTCTTCAATAAAAATTACAAACTTTAAAATTATGTACTTTAAAATTGATATCATCTGATATGTCAACAATAATTCTATTACCATACCGTATGAATGAGATTTATTTGAAACTATAGGCTTTTCAAATAAATCTCAAATGACATTTCAAATTTACCAAATTTATCGTTCAATTACTGTCTATTTTTTCGTATGCACAAAATTGAAACAACGCAACGTGATATTACACGTTACAATTCGTATCAGAATCGTGTTTAATCAAATTTATCATCGATGAATATAATCTCTCGTTATATATCCATTAATATCTCGCTAAATAAAAATATAAATTATTTTATGTGATGCGAATATATCCCGTTCTTCCCTATATCGAGTCAAATTCGAGGGATCAATCTCCTTCGTGACGGCCATTGAATCTCATTGAAAAAACAGTCTACGTTCACGATCAAGGTCCTTGAAAAAGATACGTATTCGCATTTGTATTTACACTCATACATTTTCTGTCCGAGATGGTGGAAAAGCTTAAAAGGGAGGTGAGTGATGCAATTTCAGGCACACTCGGTATCGCTGCAGAGCAAATAACTGAACGGAAAACTTACTCATCGGTTAGAGCATCAATGTGAAAATTTTAATGAACGAAGTGATGACACGAGTGATGGTCAATTTTCAACTTGGTTTGTGTATTTTCTCGCAATTATGCGTACTGGCGGCGTCTCAGAGGACCTTCCTAGACTCACCGTCCAATCTCCTCATATGGCGTGCAATTCGTAATTACCTATTTCATATTTTCGGTACGTGTTCGATTTATTATCTCGTTCGCAGTGTTTTTCTGATAATAGGATAAATTTTGATTCTGAGACGATTATTTTTTTTTAAAGAAATTAATAGAAGTTATGTGAGAATGTACGAGCATGAAGAATCTCTTATGAGATATTTTCGTTAAAAAAAAAGTAGAATTTTGTCGAGACATTGATGGATTTCAAGCAGTGCTGAATGTATAATAAGTAGAAAAATTAATAAGTTAGAAATATATTTGTTTGAACATATAATATATCAATCGAAGAGATTTCATAGCAAAAATACAATAATTTGAATGATCAATCTAAAATAATTCTAATTCCATTCTAAATTTTGAATTAGTCTGAATAGACTTGGACTAATATTTTTTTCAGAAACAGTGATTGAAAAATACTATAAGTAATTAATATTTATCTTACAGAAAATGACGAACGAACTCCAACGAATTTTCAAAAAAAAATTCAATTGGACGTTCCATTTCCTTGCAACGTAACAGGTACTTAAGCAAATTCAATTATTATCAAAATTCTCGTAAAAAATTAGTTTTATATATTCATCATTGCCCAATTTGAATTAAATTCTTTGCTTGAAAATTTGATATTGTAAATTTCTAAAAGTACAAATTTTAAACTATTTTCATACGTGTAATAAATATATAAACCTGCTAATTTCATATAACTAATCCTGTTTAAAATACATACAATGACATTCAAGCTATAGTGTAAAATTTTGACTTGATTTTCTTTAGGCGGTAGATCTCCTAAAATTCCGAATTCGGTCCATCGTTTGAGGCCAGGTGACATAGATGTGATTGCGGCAATAGGGGATTCTTTGACAGCTGGTTCTGGAATTTTTGCGAAAAATCTATTGGAAATATTCGTGGAGAACAGAGGGGTGCAGGCGAACATCGGTGGTAAAGGGACTTGGCGGACGTATCTTACCCTCCCCAATATCCTCAAAGTACGATTAATGATTATAAATTGATGAATTGATTGAAAATGATATAACTATTGAATAGCAGCGCGAATTAAGTACGTTCTTTTTTCTTTTTTTTTTTTCTTTTTTTTTTTTTTTTGATAGAAAGATTTTATTGTTATGTGACGTATTATGTAGGAATACAACCCCAAGTTAATAGGTTACGCGCTTGAAGATTCTTTAACTTCTCAATCAGCTTCGCAGTTGAGCGTTGCTGAGATCGGCGCTATGTCTAAAGATTTGCCTTTCATGGCTAAATATCTAATCAATAAAATAAGGAAGGATGGTAGAATAGACGTAAAGAAGCATTGGAAGGTTCGTAATAATAATAATTATCATTATATTATCCGATAACAAGATAATTGAACGATATGACTAATTTAAAATTTAAAATTCATATATTCAATGATATTACTTTTTTTTTATGATATCAGTTAAGAAAATATTTTCTTGGAATAATAAAAATTTACTCGACTTAAATTCTAATTAAATATGATAAATTTCAGAATGTAATAAGTAGGAAATATGTATTGAAAATATTAATTAAAAAAAATTATAAAATTGAATGAGAATTTTCTCAAGAATAATTATACAATAATAACGATTATTTTTTATAAGTTAAATATTAAAATATGAAATTAACTATATTTTTCGATTACAAATTCAAATAAAATATACGTATATATTTATATATTTTCTAATTGCTTTTGGAATATTGAATCAGTTTCCAAAATATTTCTTACTTGTTACTTGTATATATATATATGGTGTCTCTGAATTTATAATAAAACTTAAGAGAGGATGATTTTTTGTTTAAAAATCAAAAATATAGAGTAAAATTTCCATATGAATTATTATTTAAAAA